TGCCTTGGTTAACTGCTTTAGTACAAAATAGTATAAATGCCTACATAGTAAGTAATATCTGTACCTTCATGTATTAATYAAATAATGCTTCTGCTTATCAGTTATCACAACACAACGAATAACTCCAATACTCCAAAACAGAAAAACTCAAAGTAAGTTTAACATCAACATCTTTCATTCAAACATTCCTCATGTCATAAACTTCACTCAGTCTTCTTTCATTTATATAGYACTGCCAATATTCAAGGCACCTGCACTGATGAACAAGGTAAGATTATCATCTCAACACAAAACAAATATTCAAATTTGATTGCTAATCTCTTTTCTTCCAACAGATCTTGAAGATTATATATCAGAAACATGTACTCCAAACTACTCAAGTTAAACATGTTATTACACTTCAATAACAGCATAAATGTTTATCAGAATTTTGTGGAAAGAGGTTGCCAATAATGATTAGTAATACTGTATCACAAAAAATTCATCAAAGAGATTCCCAAAAAACATTGGAGAATGTACAATTCCAAAAACTGCAAGAATTCTATCAACATCTGGCATTCCCATATAACAGTTACACAGACAATAGACTACAGTTGTAAACAAACCATAGAACAAATGTCTACAATAAGATAGACCTTAAGGTAAAAGTTTCACCAAACAAGAACACAATCAAGTTGTTAAATGGAAAACGTCATACAAATGTCTGTGCATTATATCTGATTCTAGTGAATCAATTAATATTGTACTTTGGCGTCAAACCATACACAAAGTTTATACGTCAAGCCAAACGTCACCTTTTCCGTAATCTAACAGGATGGTACAAAATTTGTTAAGAATTGACCACCATAAAAGAACCATACATTATTGATACGATACTATTCTCCACATTAATCCTTTAAAAATATCATTGATATGCTATGCAAGTTCTACAGTTTTCTTATATTGTATGTTGACGTATACAGTTACATTGTATTTGAAAATTATCATTAAACAGATGTTTTTGAATTGTTTATTGTGAAACAAATACTACTATCCAATTACTACTAAATAGTGTTGATTAACAAGTAGAAAACAAAGGAAWTAGCATTATTTAATATTATTTTGTACTCTTGCTCATTTGTCCAATATTTACTTTTCATCCAATGCTATGAATATATGAGGTAACTGTGTGCACAGTTCAAGACTAAAAAAAAAATGATTTTGAAACAAGTTTATCATCTCTTGTAATGGCAACAGTTAAACATCATAACTTTGGATGAGTAATGTCAAATTGAGTTCACCTTTATATTACATTATACAAATGTATATATTCATATACTGACTTGCATACGAACTGATATCACACACAAATCAACCAATAAAACCATATTCATACTCTTCTCAGTAATAGTCATGCTACCCTCTTTTTCATAAATAACTGCAATAAAAATTGTGAGACACATTGCATGATTTCGAATTTTGCCAATTGTAGGATTTCAAGCATAATACAAACAGTAATACAAAAGTARACAACACATCTTTATAAAAYAATTTATTCTCAAAATCAACAATGTCTACAATAAGATAGACCTTAAGGTAAAMGTTTCACCAAACAAGAACACAATCAAGTTGTTAAATGGAAAACGTCACTGTTTACAACCTTACTGACTGACTTTACAAGAATTGATAAATTATTTTTTGACATTCATCTACAACCATGTCCTGTTCTCCGCCATGAACCATCAAATCCTCTATCTCTTTGGTTGTTAATTTATCTGAATCTGGGAGGTTTCTGTGGGCTAAAAAGCTATCGATGGCATCAGTAAAACATGTATAACTGGTGTTCTTTCCTCTACTATGTACTATTACTTGACAAACTATCTTAGTTTTAAGAAAACTCTTTAACAATGTCATTTTACAACCTTGGCATGTTACAGAATCTTGACCTTTACCTTCCTCATCAGTAATAGTTGAATTACATGCTATGCATGCATGACTTTTCTCCACACCAGCACTGATGCATTGCCCCCTAACAACGCTGTCGTTCAATTCCATAGACATCAAATCAATACTACCAATGTCTGGTATCTCACTGATGATTGTAGATTCATTGGTGTTGATAAACTTTACATCTTCAAAAATACGAACTGTAAGGTGTTGCATATGGTACGACTTTCCAACACGTACCTTGTCTATGCATTCTTCCCAGAGCACAAGTTTTATTGATGCTGTTAAATCAGCAACAATACAGTCAGTTTTATACTTTGTTTCCTTATTTTTCATGATTGGTTGCTTTGTATCAGGTTTTGTCAGTACTTTTACTTTGATGTCCACTGTTGTGTAAATTTTGCATTCTTGACACTCTTTGATGGATAAAAGATTATTGAGCAAACTTTCATTGTACTCAAAATCAAGTTCAGTTGATGTTATCTTTGCTGATTTGACAATCTCCTTATCTTCTGCCAAATTAAACTTATTAAGCTTTCTTTTTGTAGAGGATATTTTAATTGGAGATTTATTTTCACATGCTTCATGAATTTCAAGGCGCTTTTGTGGACTATAGCAAACCAATCTCTCAGTCTTGTCATCTGAAGTTTGCATTTTACAATCAAAATATTTAGTTTTCTCCTTGTTTGATGCAATTTTAATAGGACTGACCACATGGATATATCCTTCCAAAGGTGTTTCTAAAAAAATGCAAACACATCATATAGATGACATAGATGATATGAATAAACTAAATATTTAATAAAAGTGCAAACCATTGGTAAAACACTTTCTAAATTAACAGTATCTAATAGTATTGAGTTATCAACTATTATCTCATTGATAAACACATAGACACCTTATGATGTCTCTATTGTTCTTTGGGTTATATATATCAACACTTCTCAATATCTCTTACCTTGACTCATGATGATGCAAAATCTTAAAACTGAAATTTAAAAAAAAATTAAAGTTAACAAATATCACAAAAGGTATTCATAAATTTTCATGTAAAAAAAATTAAAATATTTTAGTTTAAAATTATTATTTCAATTTAAAACAATGTTTAACTAAAATCTTATAAATATCAGTGAAATTATTTCAAAAAATTACACAAACAGTACCCTACGCGCTGATACTCTGCGAACAGAGCTACTCGGCAGGGGAGTAGCTCTGTTCGCAGAGTAACGGGCTGAGTGCACTCGTACGGACAATCAATGTCCATCCACAACTACATCTTAGATAAAATAGTATTATTTTGGATTGCAAGTATTGTTAGATTATTGTTTATCACTATTTCACTGCTATTTAAAGTGAACAAGGCTGCGAAATAAAAACAAGTGATATTATATCCTGAAGCACTCTAGTTGAGCTTGATAATCTGTTTCTATGATTCAAATAATTATTATAGGTCTTATAGTGACTCCAAAACTGACTTTTTCCAATAAAGATGCAACAGAACTCTAAAAATTGACTTACCAACCTATAAATGGTTGACAAAACCTAATAGTCCTCGCTTTCAATGTCTAGATAATCGACCATAATTACGCCATTGTACGCTTAAAACATCTTCATTTACTAGTAAACGATCTTTTCTTAAGTTCGCAAAAAGGCATAAATACATAAAAGAATTACAAAAGTATTCAGAAACAAATAATTTATAATTGCACTGAAAATTATAGCTCATTTATTAATGAAATCATAAACGAAAAAACACTCACCTCTATCGATGAACGCGTGTACACGAGCACATGTAGTACTTTGAAATTKGAGATTCGTAGTTATCACGTGACATTTCCGATGAAGTCCGAAAAGTCACCGAAAGTCCTCTACGGTATCTCAGCGAAAATATTCAAATGGTCCGATGTGCTTCATATAAAAACACAATGTCCATTAACTTAACATTGATTTTTCTGCAACGTTATAAGAAATTTATTATTTCCTTCACATTTTCAACGGATCTCACAGCTAGACACATGCAGTCATCGACTGCCTTTAATTTGATCTACGTTGAGAAATTTGAGTTTTTGAGCAAAATAGGTTTTACCCCGATTTGGTCTAAAATTAGCATRTWAGACCGCTAAAACTTGCAACTTTTTAAAAGTTATTTCTTCAATCAATTTAAATATTTTTGCGCAATTTTTTTACATAATCCGAAAGAATACATCCTAAGGAGTTGCCCGGAATCGCTTTTGGCTTTTCAATATATTTTTAACGGGGAGGAAAAATGACTTTTGCTTGGCCGGTTTTCAAACCTTTGAGTTGAAATTTCCGAACACATTTTTCTCCATGTGGCCATTCTCCAATTTTTACCAAATTCACCCTGAATGAGGTCGAAGTATCAATATAAACCGACGTAGAAAAATATTTCTGGGTTTTTACACTGGTAGTGCGATAGGAGCGATCAAATATCACGATTTTTTGACTTGCAATATGCAAATTAGCAGTTTGTTTACATTCACTCAGATAGATTATTCGAATGAAATTTTTTCTCAAACATCGAAGTCAATCAAATATATCATCTGATCGAATTAAATGAAGTAATTTCTAGTATATTAGACACTTTCCAACAACTAAAGCGATTTTATCTTGACCTTTAGCCCCATATTTCCTGTTGACGCTTCTTGTGACGATCCTAATAGTTGGACACTCAAAAATTCTCGAAAGGGAGATATTTGTATGGACAAAATTTGTGGCCTTGCATGCCAAGAGCTAGCATTGTTATAGCACTCTGCCAACGCTCCCAKTAACACTTCGTCAACACTGCCTCATCATCTTTTGACATCGCAGTAGAGACATATCTCCATAGCTGATAGCTTACGGCACAGGTCGTATATTAGAGGGGGTATCAGGGACTGGTGCATTTTTATTTCCCTTGACAGATTGTCAGTTTGGCCCTGAGCTTCCAAATGCAACAAAATTACATGACTCATTCAAACTGCAAACATAGATTCACATGACCCACCCATTCTTATGAAACAAAATACTATATTTTCAAAATATCGCAATTTACAATGTATTCATAGACCATATAAAAAAGGGAGTGGCTATCGTAACGCCTTTGTTGATAATTTGTTATCCGTCGAAAGAACATATTATAATAATAAAGACCTCAAAGTTTGATTGCTCTAACATTCAAGGACCATTCAAGGACCAGAATTTACAGGTGTTTGAAATTGCAAAGACTTTAAAGTGAAAATCAGCATTGACGCAAGCCTTGTTTACATTTCAAATGCTCGTAACTCTGCTGATATTCAACATTAAAAAACTAAAACTGAAAAGAACATTACGTAGTTATTCCCTTGAGACTAGACAGAGTATATATAAGTCAGGATAAGTGCATACTCGACACAGCGTAATGAGTGAA